TAGCACAATTCTTCGCTTTTTTTCTTCTTTTGTAATACCACCAAAGCAATGGACAATTTATTTTAAAAGTTTTGGCAACAACAAGTAATTTGGCAGGATATATTTTTGATTGTTATCTGTAGATTTCTTTGTATAAAATATTTACTGATCAAATGTAATATTTGTATATTAATTTATAATTGATGTTTGATAGCTTTATTTACTCAGGTGAAATATATTTTACGCACTATTTCTGTTATTCTCTTGWCCCATTAGTAAGTGAACAGAATGTATGGTTTTTTTGTGTATGTTTTTTGTTTTGTTTTTATGTAGATAAACACAATACTGTAGATAAGTATGTACATAACTATTACTGCACTGATTTATCCTGGTCATGGCTAACTGGAGATAATTAATAGCTTTGCTAAAGTATCTTCTTATTAACTTCGTCTGTTAAAAAAAATCATTTTGATATTGTGTTTTACAGGCAATGTATGAAACTATTCTACAACAACAATTGGAACAACAACGTCAACGTCCAATACATGATGCTGAAATGACATTACAATTCTTAAAATCAGCATTTTACTATTATCTTACCGACCCCTCTAATACCACGGGACATTTAAATGCTATATTAAGCATACTTCGGTATTCAGATGCTGAAAAAAAAATCATTGAGAGTAATCAAGCGTGGAAATAACATTGTTTGAAAAAAAAATTGAATTATTTGAAATAAGTTATTGTCCAATTTGAATCTGACTGGAAAAATATTTTTCCCTGTATGAATTATGACAAGAAATTCGTTAGTCCAAACCGATGTAAAATTATCTACATATTATCCCTGTGATARTGAACGATTTAAATAATATGGTGCAAACATCCTGGTGCTTTTTTTTGACACCAGTCTGAGCGAACGAATTTCTAGTGAATGTTTAATTTTAAAATAAGTTTCCTAAATAGTTTGTATTTCTTGGTTTTCTGTTATATTATTATTTTATTTTATTAATWATTTTTAAAATTATTGTAGTATCAGTATTATGGTTATTGATAGGGATTTTGTTGAGATTTATTAGAATATTATTTTGTTGTTTTAAAAGAATGTTTGATGTTTACTACTTTTTGGTTTAGCATTAATTATTTTCCTTGTAGTATTAAGTATACACTGTATTTATTAAAATTTTCAATCAATTCAGATCATTTACTGTAACATATTGATCATAATATTATTATTTTCTATTTTTATTGTAATACGATTTGATTACACAGTATTTAGCACATTTTGTGCAATAAATATTTTGACGACATGTTGTAAATATATGAGGTATCATTTTTGTGATTATTTTAATGCACTGAAAAAATTATTCTGGTGATTAAAAGTTTGATTAATAAATCAATTATCAAAAACATAATTGGAGTATTTTTTTTTAGGAAATAGTGACAATACTCAACCTTACCTGAGTACTTTATATGTACCTATATTGTATTAAAAAATTAATGGATAACATTATGACTTACTATTTTAGAAGACAAGGTCAGAGAATTTGAAATTGATAAACTTACATTCTGATGTATTTTAACCATGATCATTGCCATTCATTGGTACAACTAGAGTTAAAATTCTGGAGTTGGGGGCTACAGCCCACCCAATAAATCTATTATTTCAAAATAATGCATAGAAGATTTAAAAGTAAAACAATATGGACATTTTTTGGGGGGGGGGGACTAAGATGGTAATATATCATTTTTAACCATATCGTAATTAAACTGTCAATTATCCAGTAGTAAGTTATTAAGTTTTAAAACACCGTCGGGCGTCTGTCATTTTGTGTACATGAATACATGACGTTGTGTACTTTGTAAGAATCTTATAAAATTATARGTGTTTCGTGTTTCTAAAAAGTTCAAAAACCACTGTTCTATCAACACCTAATCATAAACTTAATTTTTATCCTTAACGTTTACATATTACTCTCAAACTTTTTCAAGTTAAT